TGAAAAGGTGGTTTTTTTCCCACAAAAATCACATGTACTGATATTTTAGATGAAAGCTTACTGCAGATTAATGCTTAGTAGAATCCATACAACAATAAAGCATTTTCTTTTATATAGCATTTGACAGAAGATATGCGCCTTCTTACATTATGAAAATCATCGGAAAACTTGACTTTTTGGAAAGTGTGGGCTTGTAAGAAGAGAAGCTCACTAACATCCATACGCACACCCACACACTCCACACTCTTACTGGGCAAACACTCTCATTAAATTTGTGAACCAAGCTGGCGTTATATTGTCCATCTAAACAGGTGGGATAGCTATATAGTTATTGTTTCTAAATACATATACACTATCCCTTCTAAACACATATAGGAGTTTGGGAATTTAGAAGTTTTCTCCATCGTCTATGCTATACATGTTCGCCAAAACTTTCTATATCATTGGTGTTACCATTTTCTTATTGAGTAAATCCAGCTAATGATATACTGTTCAATGTACTTGTCGTTGTTTATTGTTTTCGATCAAAATTCATTTATGAACAAGTCAATACTTTTTATTACGAAAACTTGCTTTTATAACTTTTATCAATTACGAAAAATCTAATATAATATAGTAGTTTGGCACAAACAATCGAAGACTTTCTTTAGAAGTATCGTTCTACGAGTTCTAAAGAATCTCTTGATTTACTAATTATAAGTTGAAACTTGAACTCTGTACTCCAGAGTAATTCATGTTGATCCAAAGCCAGAATCTGGTGGGCTACTATCTGTCGAAGTGGGTGTGGTCGATGTGAATGAGTCGTTCAATAGTTGTTTGTACATTTTCACTGACAATTGAGTAACATCTGTGATAATCGGACGACATTTTGGATCTAATGTTAGGCAGTAACTCACTAAACCACACAACTAAAAGTATAAAGAATTCAGAAATTAAACAAATCTGACATTGCATTGGTTAGTTTACTGCATATGAATATAATTTGCTTGACAATGGTGGGTAATCAAGTTCGTCGATTTTTTTACATAAGCCTAACAGGGTCTGATTTTTCTCGAAGAAGGGATTTCGAAGAGCAGTCATCTATAAAAAGAAAGGTACATAAATAGAGTTGAACATAAACAGCTTCTACAATTCACTTCATATAGAACACAACCAAGTGACCAAATATCTGCTGGAAAGCTATAGCCTGAGTCCAATTGGCTTATTCGTTCTGGAGACATGTAATAGGGTGTTCCAAGTTTAGAATGTGTGAAATCGATTTCGCTGGGAAAGAAACGACCTGCAAAACAAGAAAGACTCGCATATAAAAATCAGAAATACACAATAAACGATCGTTTCACCTAAACCAAGATCACCCAATTTTACAGTTCCTTGGGAACTGATAAAAATATTTGCTGGTTTAATGTCTTCAATTCGGAGAAGAGAAAAGTCAAATGTTTAAAATAAAAGCATAGTCTCGTGTTTACCTCTATGCATGATTCGTTTTGCATGCATATGTTCTAAACCGAGACAAACCTGACTAAAATATTTCCAGATTGTTTTCTCTAGTAGTAACTTATTGTGTTGTGTAAAATACTGAAATGAAATAATTAGTCACAATGAAAGTTATCGGAAATTAAAATCATATATTCAACATAGCATACTTCAATCATTTTAGCAAGATCACCTGCGCTAGCTAGTTCCTATAAGATAGAGGTCGAGAAAAACAATAACTATGCAAAAATAATAGAAAAAAAACTCACCAAAACTATGTAAAGATCATTATTAGTATTGGTGAAATGGGAAATATATTTAATTACATTTGGATGATCAAGTTTCTAGAATAATAATGAACGTGTTTAAAAATGTTTACGCAAGATTTTTACGACTCCAAGATCACTTACTTGCAGCAAAATTATTTCTCTTTTACAATCTTCAACTGCTTTCCTATCGACCATTTTAGCGAGCTAAAATTAGCATTCGTATGCAATATGTAGGCACTCGTTAAATAACCTCTTTCAATAATTTATTAAACTTACTTGAACTTTTTTTAACGCTACCTTCACTCCAGTCGGTACATTTGTTCCAAAATAAACAGTGGAAAAGTGACCTTTTGCAACTTTGTTACATAATTCAAAATTTTGTAATGAGTTGTATGGAGACGGATTGATCTTTTCACCTACAATACCTAGGTTTATCGCTGTGGCTGTGGTTTCTGATGCTTTCTGATACATACAGAAGCCGACTTTTTTTTCAAAAAGAAAAATATAAATCTTTCATGAAATGAGTCTCTTAAATGTGCGCCATATGATTATATACCTCTTTTATACGCTATATAGATAAAAACTTCTTTTTTTGTTCTCTTTTGTTTTCATATTTATGATATTACGCATAGTGTTATCAGTCATGTGAGGAAGTAAGGTAATACAAAGGAACTCTCCAAGTCGAGATTGATGTGTATCTTTTTCTCATTTCGATAAAACTAGAGCGTGTTGAAAATATTAGGGAGACAAACATAGTTGTTATTTCATCTTCCACTTTATTGTCTAGTTGAGTACCAGACTGAATGTGAGTGTAGATAAAGAATAGATCAACACCCACACTTACACTCCACGCTCATCCACATTCACACCCACTCACACCCTTGATAGATAATTTGATGGCAATCAATCAAATATGTATGTGCATCGATAAGTGATCATCATTCAGTTTTTCTCTTTTTGTTTTACATAATTACATAACACTTATTCGAATATATCCATCGGTATAAAATCATTTTTCTAGCCGTTTCTATGTATAAGCTTTTTTCTAGAAATTCTTTTTTTAGATCGTTTCATAACAACCAATTGACTATATACGTCGATAAGCGATCGTCCTTATGCTTTTTATTACATTTTTTTTACAGATATTTTCTCCCTTTCTATTTCAGATAACCGTGTGCCTTATTCATCGACAAGATTCATCGCTTATTCATGTCTCTATTACTTTTTTTGTTGATAGTTCTTTTTTTCATATGAACTGTTCTTGTTTTTATTATAGATGAGTCCATGACCATTAACTGACTGTGTCGATCGGTTATTCATCAACGTTCTTGTTTTTCTCTAACGAATTTTTTTCTTACTGTTGTTTTACAGGACTTAGTCCGAATCGATGTTTTTGAGCTCGTATCATGCTCCTTCAGTGTTTGTTTCTTTACATAGGATATAATAAAATATGGCGTTTATTTTTGTTAACAAATAGATAATTTTACAACTTAGTAGTTTGGAATAAGATAATAGCTTGAAAAGTATAGCAGTTGTATAATAGACAGGATTCCAAAGGGTCCTATGCATGTATTGGATGTGAATTAGTTATCAATCAAACAATAATCATAGTTACGGGTCATTATAGCTTACTCGACGTACATACAATCGTAATACAGGAGTCGGGTAACACGAGAACTTACGGTCGTATTGCAGAACACATATGATCCATTGATTCCATACAAAAACATTAGTACACACAGAATAAAACGAAAGTTGCAACGAAATGAACTCATCTGAGGAAACAGAGATCCGCAAATATGAGTAGCTCAGATCGAGCGATGATTCCACTTGAACTTGACTGAAATTTAGAATCGTGAGAATTTTTTGTGTAAATGATTAAAGATATAGCAAAAATAATAACCAGAACAATGAGAAGTATTGGAAGCAGATAGACATGAGTAATGATTGCATTTTTACGTTTTTCATACTTATCTTGTGCACTCCAAGAAGTCGAAAACGATTGAATATACAGAATTACGCTCTCAAAGACGACATCGGAGTAACAAGCTGAGACGAACATCTCTTTTTCGTGTGAAAAGTTAACTGACAATATTAACTACGACAGTGGACCTTTTCTGATGAAAAGAAGCGGAAGTTATAAATATATTTCAATATTTGAGATGGATTAGAGAAAGAGAACAGCCAAAAAAGAGAACAAGATAGCAATGGAAGGCTAAACTAATGATCAGATAGAGTAGGAATGAATATTTTTTGGTAAATAACACTCGGTGAACAGAATGCACGAAAGAGAAAAAGCAGACGCAATGGACGCGCCTCAACGGATCGTGACGAACAATGAGGTAGAAGAACATTAGGAACAAAATTTTTGACAGCCTATGTTATTATTCTTTCTAAGAAAAAGCTTTGACGAGCCCAATTTCAAATAAAGAAGCTTTCAAGTTTCGAGCAACACTATCGAAAGTTAAAAAGATTCAATCAAGTTTGCGAAGCCTCGAAATCTCTGCAGCTGGAAAGGTTTAAATCAACCGTTAAATTACATTAGTAAATCGGATATCTGGATATGCAAAATAGAAAAGTGAATAGTTATGATCACATTCGCAAAAATTTTATTTTGACAATTTTACTCCTGATCATCATAGTAGACTTTGCGTAGTACACTTTGCTTAAAGATACATGGCATAACTAGTACTAATTATGATATTTAGATGAAACACTATCTTGTGGGAAGACTATTCTGATATAGAGCAACAAACAAATTTTGCATTACATAATAATCGGATTGCTATGTTGCCATTTACTATAAGTCATTAGCGTCATCATCACTGGTTCGTCTATCGTTTTGCAATTACACATACCTGAATGTTTGACTCATTTAGATGATTCATCGAGCGTGCTTCTATGAGTTTTCGCTTCTTACTTCTAGATTTCGCAAGACATATCATATAAAACACGTGCATAGCTACTCCTTTTCTCTTTCAGTGTTTTTTCGACATTTCACAGGCAGACTCGAATAAAACGAAACTCAAATATGGCGCACGGCATCTCGGATTCCGAGTGTAAAAAGGAATATTTTGATTCACAATCAGAACTCGATGCCAAATTGGATCAATTGGCTCAATGGATAAAAGAAAGTCAACATTTGATTGCATTCACAGGTGTGTCTAATCATTGCTATCTATCTCGTAGAATTCATCTGGATAGATATTAGGTGCCGGAGTATCTACATCGACTGGAATTCCGGATTTTCGTAGTGCAATGGATACTGTGTTACCTACGGGGCCTGGTGCGTGGGAATTACAAGAGTAAGTTAGCTCGACATTGTTTCTGTAAACAACGACTTTTCAACTATATTAGCAACAGAAAATCTCGATCCAAAAAGGCAGTAGTCGTTGATGACATGCAAAAAGCAATTCCATCGCCCTCTCACATGTACGTTGTTTTGTCAAAGCTTGAGAATGCAGCTAATTCTGATTTTCGTTAGGGCTCTCGTTGAATTACAACGTCGTGGCATTCTCAAATGTTTAATCTCGCAAAATTGCGATGGTCTACATTTGCGTAGCGGCATGAATCCAGCTCATCTAGCTGAATTGCATGGCAATATGAATTTGGAAATATGTAAGAAATGTAAAGCTAAATATTTACGAGATTTTGATACGGACAGTGACCGTTCAAACCATTTGACTGGTCGTCGGTGTGACAAACTCGAATGTCGTGGTCAATTGAAAGATTCAATTATTAATTTTGGCGAAGACTTACCTGAAGATGAATTGAACAAAGCCTTTGACCATGCGGACAGGGCCGATGTCTGTCTCGTTCTAGGTAACATAATAATATTCATACAATATTTATCATACTAATCTTAATTAAATTACAGGCAGTAGTTTGACTGTCACACCGGCAGCTGATATTCCTCGTCGAGTGGCTAAACGAAAGAAAAAATTGATCATTGGTAATCTGCAACGCACTCCGTTGTATAATCGTGCGACATTAAATATTCACGCATTCAGTGATACAATCATGCAGGGTTTGATGGAACGACTGAACATACCAATTCCACCATGGATTCTTCGACGACATGTTCTTGTCACATGTCAAAACGATAGTGATAAACATAAATCTACAATCACCATCGAAGGTCGTGATCCGGACAACAGCGAAATTCCATTTACACTGTTTAAATCGATTCAAATGGCCATTGGAGATCGAGCAAAAGAAGATTTAACTCGAGAACCATTTGTCTTTGAAGTATCCAACAAAAATGTTCATTCAATCACTGTTCGACTCAATTTCTTTGGTCATTACAATGAAATTCCATTCGATCTTTATTATGTCAATGTGAAAAATATTCCAACAGAAGAACAATTCTACTTATTCTACAATCCGTTAAAGGGTGAATGGCGTAAAACAAACGACGAGACTGATTTACCCGTTTGAATGGATTCATAAATTTCGAAGAAAAATATATCTCATCTTTAAAAACAGCATAAAATAAAGAATGAATACATTGCATTTGATTGTTCTGTTTCTTCTGTGTTGTTTCTTCGGTAATGGTAGAGTGAGAAAGATGCATCGATGATTGATTCGAGCTATTTCATCCTGAAAAAACAAGTCCGGACGTGAAAATCGAAACGGTTTCAGTTTTTGATTATTCATGGCTTAAATACACTCAAAGTATCCTTTGTCTATAACTGATAACATTGAACTAGAAGGAAATTTTAATAGTAAGGTTTTCTATTAACACAGATCTTCGCAGATCATGTTTATTACCACTTGAGATGAACCAATCTTTCAATGAGAATTCTCGAACAAATACCTAATATAACGTGAGTCAATAGAAGGTATCTGCTCGCTTTTATGTAACTTTACCTAAACTGGCAAAACATGAAAGTCGACATGAACTCATCATATACTAAATCTGAATAATCGACCACATGAAAATTTAGGGAACAACATTATGAGATCTGAGCCTAGCTTCAAGGCTAGAACAGAGTTTGTTTGCTCTAGTCATGATTAGAAGAAAAATGTACAAGATATGTTAACCGTCAACTATAAATAAATGGAAAAAAATATGTGTGACTTTGAAATTGCGTTTCCGTTCAGATAGAATAATTTTATGCACGGCTTCGACAGTCATCAATGGTGTACATAACACGGAAATTCGATGCATTTACCTTCTTAGAACTCAAATGGTCAGAAGAGACCGACATGAAAGGAATACGAGCTTATTTTCAAGTAGACCGTCATGAAGCCGACCAGAACGCAAAAAACACTATGAACTCTGCAAGAGAATAAATTTAAATTCTTCAAGTTTAGAATGTTAGCACGCTAATGATCAGTTCTGACATAAAAAGCGATGTATTTCAACACAGTCAATATGTTATATAACAAGTATGTTAACTGTATCACCATTATGTTTTTACAAAACCAGTTTATTATTTCTAATTTGAGTCTTTGACTATTATTTTAAAATCGGAATGTACCGTTTGTTGTATATCACAAACAAGATGAGAACTGTTCTGTTACTAAGAGAACAATTCGTTTGAGGTCTTCGAAAATGAAGCAGTCATACACTCGGATAAACCAAGAAAAATCGGTATCATATTGTGACGTTTTATTAACTTCATGGTAAGTCAGAATTGTTCTTATTGCCCAGTTCAAGCCAAGAATAATCAAGTTCACAAAGCCCATTCCGTATGTAAGGCAAACATTTCTCGCCCAAGAGCATTTTTAGCCGACAAAACCATTTTTTACGTTTTCAAAAGCTTAATAAATCAAAACTTATACTATTCATATTATTAATGGTTTCATGATGGAAATAACTGAAATAACAGCAGATTTTTGACAGAAATTTGAACTGGTCTTGTTCGTTTCGGTAAACTATTCCACTTAACATTAGGGAAACATTATTCTTTGCATAAAACACGATTGCTAATGAGTATTGAAGCATACAGAGAGAAATGTGAATCATCCTCGATCTGAGTGACAGATTGACAGTCATGTTGATAAAGCTGAAATGAACTGAAGTTCCGATTTTTGAAACTATTTTAGCTTTCAGGTTTCTACAGGGTTTTTTTCTAGCGTCTACGTAGTGTGGTACTTGACCCCTAATGCAAATGCACAATGCGTGTCGATATTACTAGAAAGGGCACCGTATCCAGGCAAGAAATTAGTTGAAATACTCATGCATGTATACAATAGTGTTCATTTAAAATATAATCAGGATTTCGATATGGTAGAGATCTAATATCTTCTACGGATGATATAAGATGATAACTAATACCATCATTTGTTGATAAAAGAAATTATGTTGGCTTCGCTTTATTTGTATGAAACTATCGACGTAATTTAGTAAAAGCCTTGTATAGTCTGAAAGGTTATAATATTAACTATGGTGCACGTTCATTGTATTATTAGGTAAGTCTTCTGGAAACTTCGATCTCTGAAGTAAAACTCTCCTGTGTATCTATGTTTCTTTCTTAGACCAGCGAAGTGTTATCAATCAACTGACTGTTGCATAAGAACAAGGTCTATTTACATCTGGTAATCAAGTTCTGCTCTTTGTTGAAGATAATCTGTTTCATTCAACTCTAACTTTTCAGTCATATAGAAAAAAAACAAAGAGTGTATCTAGGTAAAAAATAGTTGACCAGAAATCAGACTATAATCGATAACAGATTAATTAGTTTTCACAGATTAAAGGTAATTTAAATAAATCCGAAAAAAATAGCACAAACCTGCCTTTGTCATTGAAAAAAATCGATTTAATCTCATCTTTTATCAAATCTATTTATATGAGTATTGCTCAAAATTTTTGGAATGTTACAATGTTCATGATATAATTCCATGAAAAATAGACAAAATAAGTGATTATTGTATTCAAATGTGTTTAGCTGTTTACAAAAAACTACAGACTAAGCAGCGATTTAAGCTGTCACTACAGAATATCATAACGATTATTGTTCACAATTGGTTTGAGAACGAATTTCAAGACTTGATTAAAACAGAAGAAGATCTTACATGTTTTGAGATAGACTGTCACCTGCCAGCGTTGTAATCTGATAGTTTTTCAAAATTGCGAAATAATCTTTCGTATCTCCAAGTGTTTCTACTGCCATTTTTGATGTCTTATAATATTCTGTATAGTTTGCTTTGCTACTGAATACCAAAAGAGATGAGTCAAAATGTGGTGAGAACTGGTTACTATAGCAAACCTACTCAATAAAGTGTATAATAATTACTAACAAAAGAGCTGAACCATGCATAGTGGACAATGTTTCGAAATAGCACATATAAACATTTTTGTCGTGCAAATCTTTCTAACATAAATTAGACTCTTCTGGACATACGATTATTTAGATTTGTAAGACTTAATAGTGGTAGAATCGACTTTGACTCAATTTTATTTATTTCAATAAGTTAAAATATATGTATGAAGTGTTAGTAAGACTAGCTAGATAAAAATAATGAAGAAAAAGAAAAAGGAAAAGAAAACGTGTTCATAGTAATGACACAGCGATCATATGTTTAGCACCAGCCAAAATTTTGAACCCAATAGGCTCCGTAAGGACCACCTTGGGCATAGCCGACGCCAATTGCCTTAAAACCTTTGTTCATAAGATTAGCACAGTGTCCTGGACTGTCGATCCAAGCATTGACTGTCTTTTCAGGAGTTTGATTGCCAGCAATATTTTCACCGCCAGCACAATTTCTCGAATAGCCTGCAGCTGCTATGCGATCCACAAAACTGCTTCCATCTCTGCCTGTATGAGAGAAGTAGTTATAATAAAGCATGCTTTTGGCATGATTAGTTGCAGCGTTGCCCAATTCATCACTCCACCTCATAGCCGTTGTGGCGGGATACCAAGTCGAACCACAGTACCGGCCGCGTTGGCGTGCTTGATTTGTTAGTTCAAATACTCTTTGCTGATAATTGTTGCTTGGGCTTCGACGTTCGAAATCCTGAAGAACATCAGAATCATCATCGTCTTCATCATTGTGACTTATGGATCTTGGTTGGTCACCATGGCTAGACTTTGGCTCACCTACCACTTCAGCTGTGCCTAATACTGAACGAACTTGAAGATGTTGCTTGTGTGCTGGCCATGAATGGGCCAGTTGCCCAAGAGCCAAGCAAATAAAAGCCCAGAACTTCCACATAGTCATTGTATAAATTTTACAAAACTTGACTAAATAAAAAAGCAATATATACAGATAATTTCCTAGATACATTTTATACAATGAATATTTCTAAATCAAAAATTAGAGAAAAATTATTAATAGGATTTTAGATCGTTTATATGTCAATCTTGTTCATTTTCCTATTCATGTATGAACTATCGTCTTGCTGAAACAGATCGAACGCAATCGGTCATCCGATAGGCATCTCGAGACTTAGTTATCGGTCATATAAACGATGGTTTCGAAGGGAATCGAAATTTGGTGAAAATTAAAAAAAAATTGTTTAATAAATTTCTTACTCTCAAGTTGTCTAAACCTATCGAATATACATGGAGGACGATATTCAAATATATGTACTTATGACTCAGTTTCGCCAAACATCTTAACTAAAAATGAACTTACCCTTTTCTTTGAAACTTATTCTTTAATTTATAAAAAAGATAATATTACTTTGATAACTAAATTTTTTAAATAATACTTGCTACCATTTCAAAAATATAAAAATAAAACTTTTTCATCCAAGAAAAAAAACTTTCGCACGTCTCTAGTTAAAGGAATAGATTTACACTGTGTTTCAAATACTTTATAAAGAACTTATTTGAAAAATAGAACATCTGATAGTCAACTGATTTGTGTGCTTATTTGTTGACCCAATATTATTAGTTTCCATCGGCAAATGTCAAATATTGCCTAGAAAATTATGAAATTAAGTTGAAACATCTGCCTACCATAAAAAAATTCTTCTAATAGTATTTAAAAAAGTAAAAGACATCTAGAAAAAAACACTTTTCACAGAAGTTTCATGGAACCAAAATGAGACTCAGCAGTCGATATTATTATTGTGCTAGGCTGGCTTCTAATGTAGCACTCAAAAGTATGCTTCCGATCTATTTATTTTCTTCAAGTAGTCAAAACTTCGATAGGATTCGAATGGTCGAAATGATTTTAAAGAGTCGGTAATATTCTTTCGATAGGTGTTCTCTCCTCGAGTACTCAAAACTTCAATAAGCAATGAGGATTCGATACTTGTTCAATCAGTCGAGAATGAGTAATCAATAGGATATAATTTTCGAGTGCTTCGATTCTGTTGGTTGTCGAGAAGCCCGAAATTGTAATAGAGCGAACACAAAATATATACTTCATACTTTTAAACACGTCCCATACAACTGAAATTCCTTTTTACATAGGCGAGACATTGTTTTGTGACATGTAAATGTTTTTTTTTGTTCTTTTTCTATCCTTCTAATAAAAATTTC